CGGGAGCCCGGGACCGGAACGTGCGGGGGCGGCCGGCAGAGTGAGTCAAGGCAGCTGGTCTGGGTGAGGTGCCCGCAGCTGGGACGGGAGGGACCTTGGGCAAAGCCGTTGTCCAGCCCGGGGCGGGGGCGGGGGTGCCAGGTCTGGCCAATGCCCCTGGCCCCGCCTCCCGACCAGCCCTCAGGCCTCCCCTCCCCAGACCAGAGCGTCCACACCCCCACGTGCAGGCTGCAGCCACAGCCTCCTGCACTCCCCGCAGCCTGTGACCACCGCTGCTGCGTCGGCCACCCTCACGAGGACGGCTGGCGGGAGCCCCGGCGCAGACCCACGTGCAGGATTCCCGCGGGGACGTCTGCGTGCGTGAGCTGCCGGTCGTGGTCTATTTTAGAAGAAGGGAAGCGCAGGTGTCCCGGGAGCTCGGATGTGCGACCGGGCTCTCTCCTGGAAGCACAAGGAACGTGCAGGGCTTCTTGCTTGGAAGCCACGTGGGCTCCCCGAAGGCGAGGCGGAAGTTTCTCTTGACTCAGGTGGTGATTCAGGGGCCGGGGCGGGGCCGGGGCTCCAGCCTCCGCTGGCATCCCCGCTGCGGCCTGGCAGGGCCCCTCGGTCCCCTGCCCTCAGGCTCCGCGCACAAAGGCCTGTGAGGTTCTGCGTGGGTTTGGACTCGATCACTCGACCGATGCCTGTGTCTGTGCTGTGCGCGTGGGGCGGGAGGGACAGCCGGCACACGCCGACGGGGCCCCTGAGCTCCTGTGGGGGAGGTGAGGCCAGAGACGCCGCGCCGCCCGCGCTGCCGCCCGGCCCCGCCGGGCCGGGCCCCCCGCTCCTGGAGGCGGAGGTGCGGGCGATTTTACCCCCGACTGCGGGGGCCCAGTCGTTCCCCCATCAGGCCGACAGGCCTGTGTCCCCCGCCTGCGTCCGGTGGGCTGGGATTGCCCGGAGCCTGCTGAAAGTGGCACCCCATGACTTCTGAGCCCCTGCTCTGAGCTGGGGGCCCGGCCCGGCCGGCGGGAGGCTGCCCTGCAGCCTGCGGAGCTGCGTCCGCCAGCTGCGTGGACGCGCGCTCCGCCCGCAGGCGTCTGGGCCGTGGGCTGTGCGCCGGGCACTGGTCCGGGGCTGGGGACGGGCGCCCCTCGTCTGACACCCTCAGAGGCCAGCCCGGCGAGAGGTCGGCCCAGGGGGCCAAAGGCAGGGGAGGGGACCCATCGCCCGCTGTCCTCGCAGAGGAGCCCTGCGGCCGCCAAGGTGGGAACAGGGGAGGGGTGGGCCTGGCCACCGCGGCAGAGAGGACGCCGCCGCCCAGGCCCCGAGCCGGGCGCGTTCGGGGAGGCCCCACAGCAGCCCCACGCCCGCAGCAGACCCCAAGCCGACACCCGCGTCTCCGCACAGCCAGTCCCCGGGGGTAGGGGCGGCCCGGAGAAGGGGGGCACTCACGGATGCCACAGAGCTCCCGGGGACTGGGGCCGGGACGGAGGCGCGGGAGGGGCGATGCCGGGGGTCTGTGCCCTGGGGCGTGGGCACAGCCGCCGCACGGGAGCCCGGCAGGGGACGAGGGGCCAGGCAGACACACACCAGCCAGGTTCCTCCAGTTGCAGCGGGAAAGGGAAGTGCGCGCCGGCGGGTGGGAACCGCACGGGGCAGACCCCGCGTCCGGGCCCGCACACGGGCGTGGAAACCCGCCAACGCCCACAAGGTCCGCCTCGGCCAGGCGGTCACCATGAGGAGGTTCTGAGAGCTCCGTGGCCCCCCGGCAAGCCCGGGGTCTTGGGTCTCTAGGCCCTGGAGGGGGGCCGCCAACCGGATGTGCAGCCGAAGCAGAGCCGTGAGTCCCTGGCTTCCTGATCTGCTCCCCTCCCGGGAAGGGGAGGTCCGCATGGCCGGGACCCCGGGAGGGCTTCCTGGAGGCTTGGGGCTGGCTGCCCTCCGAGGAGCCAGGGGCAGACGCCTGGGCCCGGGGGTCTGAGTTTTGGGGACCAGGGCTCCTGCAGCAGCCACAGGAGGCTTTGGGGGGCAGGACCGGGACCCCCAAAGTCAGAGAAGGCCACCCTGAGGGCCTCCGGACAGGGGTTGCCCCGCCCCGGGTGCCCTCGGGATCGGCCGCCCCGGGCGGGTGCGGTGAGCCCAGGACGTCCACTGCGTGGCCGGCACCGCAGGCCCAGCCGCCCGGCGGGGAAGCCGTGCCGCCGGACCACCGACGGGCGGCCTGGGGGGCACACTCATGAGGCGGCCCCTGGCCCCACCGGACCCCTCCCAGGAGCGGCCTCGGATGGGGCGGCCGCAGCAAACCCCCAGAGCGGCTGGGACGCCCGGGGACGTCCAGGGACGGAGGCGGGTTCGGCTCCCGGAGGCCCATCCGCACGTCCACACCCTGGGCACCCGGGGCGGGCGGGGCCCGAGTCCGCTGCTTCCTGCGGCTGGGCGCTGCCCTGGGGGCCGCGGTGGGGCAGGAACAATCGCCCGGATTGTCGGCTCGGGGCACACAGCTCGCTTTCACGGGCCCACAAGACGGGTCTGTGCCCGCCTGGCGCCAGAGGGACCAGGCCCAGCGCCCAGCGGGGAGGGCGCCGCTGCGGCCCCACCCCCCCACCCCGCACACACACGGGGCCGCACGCAGAGCCTCCCTGCAGCCGCCGGCGGCCCGGGGACCGGGGACGCCACCCAGGGCGCCCGGCGAGGCCCTGCCGCTCCGGGGGCTGCCGCCGGCCTGCGGAGGGGTTTCCCGTGGCCGCTGTGACCAAGTGCCACCGACTTAGTGGTGTCGAGCTGCACAGTCAGAAGGGCTGGGTCTGAACGCGCCTGCAGGGCTGCGTGTCTCTGGCGGCCCAGCTCGGTCCCACGTCCACGCTGGGTCCCGGCCGCTGACACTGGGCGGGCCCAGGCTCGCAGAAGAGGGGGCGCCCGCCCCTCCAGGCTGCCACATGGCGGGCGGCGCAGGCTCGGCGGCAGGCAGCATCCGGCCTCCGGCGTCTCTGTGAAACGGAGTCGGGCAGCACCTCACGTCGGGGCCGCGGCCTCGGGGCCCGCGCAGGCTCGTGCGGGGCAGGGAGCAGGGGGGCCAGAGGCAAGAGCACCCGCCTGAGGCGCTGTCCCAGGCGCTGACCAGAGCCCTGAAAGGGTGCCCAGTTCCGTCCTCCAGAGCGCGGGCTGCCCTTGCTGGTTCTGGCTTGTTTCTGATGGGGGGGTGACAGTGGGTGCCTACTGGGATGGGTCACGAGGTCCCTGCAGCCCCCCATCCTCCGCGGGAAGCCGGGCGCCACGCTGTAAGGAGGCCCGGGAGAGGCCACGGGGCGAGGAACCGAGGCCTCCCGCCAACAGCCACGGGGCCACGGTGAGCCCTCGGAGGTCGGCAGCCGCAAGAGGGACCCGAGCCCGGACCCCGGCTGCCTGCCCCCAACCTCCGGACTCCCAGGAGCCGGGAGACGGCAACAGTCCGCCGCTCTAAGCCGGCGAGGGGCGGCCGTTACGCAGGCTCCAGGTGCCCGCCCGGTGCCCCCACCGCCCTCCCTGCCCATCGGCACAGGGGCCTCGGCCCCTCCTTCCAGAGACAGAGTTCTGGGGGAGCCGGTGAACCTTGCAGGCGCACCTGCGTCTCAGGAAACCTGGATTCACACAGCAGCCAGGTCCCAGGCTCAGGAGGCGCAGATGTGAGCAGGCAGCGTGCAAGCTCCGCTGTCACCAGCCACGTGTGGCGGCCGCGAGACCGGGTGCGTTCCACACGCCAGATGCCTCCGGGTTCAATGCTCGGCACCGAGAAAAACACAAAACCATGGGCAGCTTTTGTACTGAGAGGTTGAAATAAGAATGTTTCGGATAGATCGGGTTAAATAAAACACCTCACTGACAAGAGCTTCTGCACAGAGGGGGCGGGGGGGCCGGGCTGGTAGGGGTGAGTGGCTCATGGGGACAGGGCCCCCCAGGAGGGCGGCGGCGGCGGGCCCACAGCCGTGTCCACACGCTCAGTGCCCACGCACCGGGCACCTGAGAGTGGCCGAGATGGCGAGCTTCGTGCTTTGAATGTTCATCACGGTAACACCTGAAGGGAACCCTCCTCCCGCGGGGTCAGAGAGCACGCCCGAGCCGCAATCAATGGCACGTTTAATGGCACACGCAGCACAGAGCACGACAGTCATGCATCGCGGCCGCCCGCGCCAAGGCCGGCGGCCGGGGCACACGCACCGCACCAGACACGCTAGGGCGGGGCGGCGGCGAACGGCGAACAAGGGACTCGGTTGTGATTCGGCCCCCAGAGGCGGCCACGCACGGGCCCGGCAGGCGCAGGCTGGGCTGTTGCTGGACTGAAGGTGCGTTTGGGGAGACGGTCCGGTGCTGACCGGGCTGGGGGGCGGCGGGGACCAGAGCCCGGGTAACGGCCGGCACAGGCGAGGCCTCCGTGTCAGGGGGCTTCGGTTCCGAGTGTTTTATCCAGAGAAAGTTTGGGGAAGCCCCTCCCTCGCAAGGTCTCCCAGAAGCTGCTTTGCACCTTGGGACAAGCGGAGGTGGTTTGGGGACCCCCAGCCCCAGGGGAGCCGGGCTCGCCTGCCAGGGAAACTCCTCAACGCTGGGCTTCCCCCTCGTCTGGGCGTCTCGGCCCAGCAAGGGGCACAGCGGGGTTGGACTGTCCGGCACAGTGGTCAGTATCCCAGGCCGGCCACACAGGCCTCCCAGGACAGGCCAGCACTGCACCCACCCCGAGACCGTCCTGGGGGGCCCCCGCAGCTCTGCCAGGACCCGGGGGCGGGGAGCGTGAGGGAGGAGCCTGGCCCTGCTCTCTCGCTTCAGCCTTAACTTCCCACTTGAAGCCCAAGGGGCCTGTGGGACGTCCCCTTGGACACACTGCCCGACACCAGGAGCCGGCCCTGGTGAGCAGGACCCTGGCGGCTGCCTGGGCTGTCCCTGCAGAGGAGGGTGAGCAGGGAGGCCGCGGCCCCATCGCCCTCGGCTCCAGCAGGACCCGGCCGCCCAGCCGCATGGGGTCACCAGGACCCCGCAGCCTGGCCCCTCGGCCACGGGGGGCGAGCACGCTTCGGCGTCCCCCCGAAGATGAGGGAGGGCGGGGGTCCCCTACGATGAGCCCGCAGAGCCTGGGGAGACGGGAGGCGCGTGGGGGCCGCCGGCCGGCACCTCGGCCTGGCCTGCGTCTGGTGTGCCCTTGTTTTCAAAACGCACGGGTGGCCACTTTATTCCAAAGGGGAGTCTGGAGGGAGAGGCAGCCTCCGGGCTGCGGGGACGCCCACCCCCTCGGCCCCGGACACAGGGGAGCCCCTGCGCGGGACGCGGGCGGCGGGCGGCGGGCGGGCTCAGACGGTGAGGGAGATGAAGCTGTTGTAGCGCTGGATGTTCCGCTTGAGAATCTCGGAGCAGGGGCCCAGCACGCGCTCGAAGCGGGGCCGGTCCAGCTTCACGCACTTGAGGGGCCCCCGGGCCACCACCGTGGCCGCCCGGGGCCGGTTCAGGAGCAGCGCGATCTCCCCTGGGAACGAGAGGGGCGACGTCGGGGGCCGGCTGGGGCTGGGAGAAGCCACCAAAGCCGCAGGGCGCTGGGCCACTCTCGACTCCAACAGACCGAGCGGCGCGCGGCGTGAGCCCGTCCTGCGCAGAGTGCGGGGCCTCCGACCGCGAGCGCCACGCCCCGGCCCCCGGGCGCCCGGACGCGGCGTGGGGTCTGACCCTCCCGCAGCACGTCCCGCGCTCCCGGGGACGGCCCGAGCCCCGCCCCTCCGGGGCCCCTGCAGGCGGCCACCTCCGCGTCTCCCCGGGACCCTGGGACCCCGGGCACCGCAGCAGCGGCCCCCACTCACCGAAGTAGTCGGAGGGCCCCAGGCGCCCCACCTCCACGTACTCCTCATTCGGCGACCGGCGCTGGAGGACAGAGGCGGTGCCCTGTGGATGCCGAGGGGACACAGGGGGTCACACAGGGCAGGCCCCCCAAGCTGAATTCCACTTTCCTCCCCGTGGACAGAGGGCGCGGGGCCGGAGCCGGGTCTGCCGGGGCGCCCTCCGGAGGCCCGCCCTCCCCGCTGCGCCCGTGCCCTCGTGGGCTCGCTGGCGGGAGAACCTGCAGACAGCTCCCAGCTGACCTTCGCCGGCGCTCAAGGACTGCGAGCACGTCACGCCTGGCACGCGGGTGAGCCCGGGCTCAGGGTCACAAGCCCGTGGGGCGATGCGGCCCCTCCGTGACCCCAGCGGGGCCGCGTCTGCAGACCTCGCCAGGCTCAATGATTAACAGGAGGCCGTGGGGGCGCGGCAGAACCCGGAACCGTGGCCCCGAATGCCCCTGCCCTGGGGAGGGGGGCGGCCGCCGGGCAGCCTGGGGCAAGAAGGCCCCAGGTGGGGACGCTGGCAGGGCGGGGCGTGGGGCCCCGAGACCGCCCGTCCTCTGTGACCAGGAGCAGGCGGCGGCGGAGGGCGAGCTCCCTGAGCAGCGCAGTGCCCCCGCTGCCCCGCCCGGGGCCCCCCGACAGCCCCCGCTGGTCTCGAACGCCTCCCTCGTCGGCCACGGCGCCCTCCTCTCCCCTCCCCGTCACAGCCGAGGACACTGAGCTGGGAGGCACGTCTGGCGTGCCTGCCCCTGCTTAGCCGGGGCACGCGTGACTGCACTTCCAGGGGGCTCCGTGCACCAGCCCGGCTGGCCCCCGGCTGCCCCACGCTGGTGACTGTGCCTGGTTAATGTGTTACGCCCCCCACGCCACGGTCTGGGAGGCAGCGGGTCAGGGGACCCCGTGGTGCTGCCTGGAACCTCCCCCCACCCCTGCTGGCCCTGCTCCGGGCACGGGCGTGTTTATGGTGCCGGCTGATGGACGGAGAGGGACGTGCAGACGCCGCCACCGAGACGAGGAGCCCTGGAGGGGAGCAGAGCCCCCGCGCGGCCCCAGGCGGCCTCCACCGCCACGCTCTGGTCTGGCCCCGGTGCCGGCCGGGGGCCAGGCACGGCTCCGGGCTCAGGGCCTCGCGGGGGCGACGGCCGAGAGCTCCAACGCCTGGAACCGCTAGCCCCGTAAATGAAATGCTGCAACAGGGGCGGGGGGCGGGTCCGGGTGCCCCTGGGCCTGCACCTGCTACGCCTGGTGCGGCGACGCCGGCCTTCCTGCCCACCTCAGACCGGCGTCCGCCCCGCCCCGGACTGTGCTCGCCTTTGAGAGCCAGGGGGGCCCAGGGCCTCGGCCAAGGGACATGTCGGCCCGTGGGGCGTGCGGTGGCAGAGCCCCGGACGGGGGACCCGTGTTCGGCCACCACATCCGGGAGCCCTTTGTTACAGCCACTAAGGCTGTCCCGCTGACTGTGACCGCTGCCCCGAACGTCGGCCTGGGAAGCCGAGCCTGAGGCAAGGAGCAGAGGACAGGAGGGCAGGCGGACCGGGGCGCGGGGCCCCGCCGCACGGCCAGCGAGCACCCCCACGCCCGGGCGACAGGCGCGGCCGGCACCGGCCACGGGCCGCAGAGCCGCAGTCCTGGAAAAGCCCCGTCCAAGCGGCGCTGCCCAGACGTCCTCGGGGGACAGTGAGCTGGAATTTTGGGGGCTGGAAAAACACACTTGCCAAAACTGCATCTCATCATCCCCCAATTTTTCAGTTATTCATTCTAACCCAGCTCGAAAAATAAAGCGGGTGGCAGACCCCAGGTCACGGCCCGGAGGACTCAGGAGGGGGAGCTTCCTGCCGGGCACTGGGGGCGGAGGGCAAACGACGCGTTCTCCTGTCCACTTTTTGGTTTTTAACCATTTTTTCTACAAAATCAAAGACAAAACCCACCGTTTGGGCCGGCGTGGCTCTGAGGAGAACGGAAGGCCGCCGGCCGCGGCCTGGGGCGCGGGACCCTGGGGGGACCTCCACCTGGGGCGCGGGGCGGGCGGGGCTCCAGACCGGCCTCTGCCAGCCACAGCGCCCGCACAGCCCAGGCGCACGCAGGCAGGACAGGGGCCTCTCGGCGCCGACCAGCCCCAGGGCGGAGGGTCCAGAGCCACGCGCACGCAGGCCTCGTCCCGCTCACGGAGGGTCCAGGAGAAACTCGTTTAAGTAAATACATGTTAAAAGAACAGCATCACAGCCATAAACAGAAACTGGCATCCCTGTCACAAACGAAACGGCAACCAGGAAGGCGAACATGTGCGGCCGGAGCCGGGAGGGCGCGGGAGGCACGTGGTCCCCGGCAGGGTGTGCTCGGGCACGCGGGGTCCTGCGTCCTACGCGAACCTGCCGTTGGCTGGCGCCTTTCTGCATTTAAGCAGAAACAGACTCCGAGCAGCTCATGGGCACGCAGGCGCACGCGGGCGCAAGCCACGCATGCACATGCGTTCACACACTTCCACGTGTGCACACACGTGCGGCATTCACACACACACAGGTCGCACGGCCCGCGCCTGTGAACACCCCCGGGCAGATCTGGGGTCCCTCGGGCTTTGAGCCCTGTGCCGCGATGACCGTGACAAAAGCTCTGTCCTCCGTGTGGGAGACATTCCCGCGCCGTCCCTGACAGCCACGTCCCTCCGCGTCCCTCCTCGCCTGCGCTCCGTCCCCGAGTCCCCGAGGCGGCGCGTCTCAGAGCTCCCCGCCGGCCTGGGGCTCTGCGGGCGGGGGCCCCGCGGAGCGGCTTCCCGCCCTCTGCTCGCCGGGCACGTCCGTCACACACCCTGGGCCGCGCACCGTCGTCAAAACAACTGTAAAAACACACTTGCCAGGTGAGCGGCCAAGGCCGCCTTCGTGCCAGTGTTTAATGGACCCTCCGTGAGGCCGCGGCCTTGGCACAGGCACAGCGGCGGCTTCCGTGGGAAAACCGGGAGCAGCACGGCTCTGGTGCCCGGGCCGGGGGCAGGAACAGGTGGCTCCCGTGCAAACGCGAGGGTCCCCGCCGCACGCCCAGGGACGTCCCGTGCCCCGAGGCAGGCGGTGCCCCCCAGGGACGGGACGGGGCTCCTGCAGAGCCAGGCCAGAGCCCCTCCCTGGGGACACAGACGCCGTGATCCGTGGCAGGGACCCTCAGACCCCGGCAGCCACCCCAGCTGCCACCTCCCTGGGGCCCCAGGACAGAGGCCCGGGGCCACACAGACGCTTGGCTTCCCGACTGTCCCCTGCTTCTGCTCGGGGTGAGTCCGCGCCGAGAGGCCCAGGCGCTGGCCCGGCCGCAGCAGCTGGGCAACGAGGGGAAGGCGCCTGCCGGCGGCGGAGAACCCACGCTCACCTCACCAGAATCCCTGTCTGACCCTGGCCGTCGTCGGCCTTTGCAGGCTCCGCAGGGCGGCTCCGCGGCCTGGGGCAGCCCTCCGTCCCCGTCAGCGGGCGGCACTGGGCGCGGCCCCTCCCTCCTCTGGGCCTCGGTGGGAGGGTGACGGTCCCCGCCTCAGGGACGCGGAGGGTCAGAGGGTCCGAGGGCCCGAGGGCCCGACACGGACACGCGCGGCAGAGAGAAGGGCCGGGAGGCGTCCGCCGTCACCGCCACCGGCACCATCAGCAAATAAGGGCGGGCCTGGCCCACGCACACGGGGGCCGTCCACGCGGCGGAAGGCGCCTCGGCCCCGGGAAGGAAGGAGGCACTGCCTCGGCCGCGGCGGGGACGCGCCTCGGGACGCGGGGCCGAGCGAGAGGGCCAGGCGTGGAGGGCACGCACGGCGTCACCCCCGGCCGCCCGCTCACAGAGGCAGGATGGAGGGGGGCTGGCGGGGGAGCGTTCCCTGGGGACAGAGTCTTGCTGGGGAGGAGGGGGAGGCCTGGAGGCGCCGGGCGGTGGCCGCACGGCAACGGGACGTGCTGACCGCCCCGGACACCTGGCGGCGGCTCCGAGGGCTGTCACCCGTGCGTCCCCGCGGTCGAAAGAAACAGAAGGTGCTTTTGACGGGGCCTGGATGTCGGGATCCGAACCGGCCCCGGTCTCTCGCCAGGGCGGGGGCCCCACCCTGAACGGCTCGCGGTGCAGGGACCTCCTGCGCCTCACGAGCCGCGGGAGCCGCCCGTCGCAGAAGCCGTCCCCCCAGCCCCCCGCAGCCAGCCCGGGAGGGGCAGCGGGGCCCGGGCGCCACTGCTGGGGACCAGCGCCGGCCAGAGGGACGCAACCCTCAGTCCCACGGAGGCCGAAGCCATCGGGGCCGGCGGCCGGGCAGCGGTGAGGGGGAGCCCGACACCCGTGCCAACAGATGCGCCCGGCGCTGTGCACCTGTTCGGGGTCCCCGCCAAACTTGCGTCCACGGGGACGGCCTCTGGCTGCTGCTCGCCTGCCTCCCGTGGAGCCAGGGTCCAGGGCAGGCGGGCCCGCAGACCCGCAAACACGCTCCGCACCGGGCCCTCTGGGGCACCCGGGGGCCCGTGGGATGACTTGAGGGGGAGGCCGACACAGGCCCGGGGGCTTCCGGCCGTGGGGGGCGGCGCGGGGCCCGGGGGCGGTGGCTCTGCTCCGCGGACACGTCCCCGGGCGGACGCGCGGGGCTGTGGGTCGGTCCAACCCGCGCCGGCTCTGGGCCCTGAGGACAGCAGGGGCAGGGCCACACGCGCCACCCAGGGCGCAGACACTGGGAGCAGAGAACCAAACCCGCCCCAAAAACAGTCTTAAAAAGGAGCCGCGAGACCCCGAGCTCTGCCATGGCTGTGGACCCGGGCCCCCAAGCCAGCCGGCACCTGCCACCGCAGGCCACCGGCCCGGCCGCAGGACCTGGCCTGCCGGCCCCCAGGGAGGTGACGCGACCGCGCAGGCTCCTCGCCCAGCCAGGCCGCCTGGAAAAGCGCTTCTTCCAGGTTGGCCCAGGCAGAAAGTTGTTATTTTTCTGCTACGAGAGACAGGGCCGAGGCGGCGGCCTCTGGCGCTGACCCGTGGCCAGGCAGCGCCGCTCTGCGCTCCCAGCTACGGAAACGGGACACGGCCGGCCGGCGGGTTCCAGGGCCAGCGCTGACCCTGGCAACCGCAGACCCGTGAGCGTCGGGGGCGCGCGACCAAGGCTGGCCCGAAGGCACAGGGCCCGGGGCTCCAGCGGCCCCTCCCTCGCCCTGTGCCTGCGCTCCCGCGGCCGGCACGCGCCCTCCCGCCGCACCTGGGCACCCTGCACCCACCCGCCGTCTGGAAAACTTCCGCTCGCCCTCAATACGCCGCCCCAACCGCCCACACCCTCCCTGGCAGTTGACGGTCCCTGTTCCCTCCTGGGTCCGTGTCCCTGGCCTTTGACATCGGCCGAGCCCCCTCCGGGAGGGACCCCGGTGACCTCCGCGAATGGGTCAAGCGATTTCCTTCCTCTGCGAATAACCGGCCCGCCAGCCACCCTTGAGCCCAAGCGGCTGCTCAGCGGGGGCGCGGCAGGTGCCCAGGGACCCAGCGGCCGCGGCCGCGCTGCCCGCGACGGTGCTGGGTCCTCCACGCGCCCCCTCGGGCACGAGGAGGGGCTGCTCCCGGGCCACCGGCATCTCCGAAACGAGCTGCACTGCCGTTGTGGACATTCATAACGTTCGCTCGCTGAGAGGAGGAAAATCCAAGCTAGCGTTTCCATGGCAACGCCACCCGGGCACAGCCGGTGTGAGAGCGGTGGCAGTTCGCTCTCGGGATTTTATGGGAGCCGGCTGGTGGGGTCCAGCGGCCCCCAGCGGCACAGAGGTTTCCGTGGGCCAGAGGCAGGGCCGCGTGGAGCAGGCCGCGGAGGGAGCGGGGCGGCCCGCCAGCCTCACAGGGCCCGCGCCCTCGCGACGCCTTCGGTCCCCCTCTGCCCGGCTGCCTCGCGGCCAACGCCCTCTCCCCCTGGGACGGGCCAGCCAAGGTGCCCGCCACGCGCCACCGGCCTCCCCCGCGGGCCCCGCGGCCAGACAACCGGGCCACGTTTTCAAAGAGAAGGAGGAGGTCCGATTTTTATGTGAAATACCCTGATTTGGGGGTATTGGTAAGTCAGGCGTTCAAATGCTGAAAGAACGAGGGTGCAGGTCAATTCTGTGCATCCCTGGGCTGAGCAGCGCGGCGACGGCCGTCTGTGGGGGGCGGGGGGCGCCCGGCTGCGCCCACAGCCGGCCCACGTGCCTCAGGGAGCGCGTGGCACGCAGCTCCTCCCCGCCCCTGAGGACAGAGAAGCGGGAACAGCCGGGGGAGCCCCGCGTCCCGGAGGCGGCGTCACCCGAGGGCGGCCCCGCGGTCCCCACCCCTCGCCCTTCCTCGCTCCCTGGGCGCGGCCGGGACGCGGCCCCGGGGCGGCGGGGGTGCTGGCCACCACAGCTGCTCGCCCCGATCCGTCACAGGCGCCGCGGCGGCAGCCCCGGGCCACCTGTTGCCGGCGCCCGCGGGGGCCCAAGGCCAGGAAACGGGAGTCGGGCGGGTTCGGGGGGGGGGGGAACCCGGCACCGTTTTCTCAAAGGAAACTTTTAACCTGAGGTGGCCGTGGGCGATGCTCAGTCGTGAGAAATGACGGGGGGCGGGCGCTGCGCCCCCGCTTCCGACGGGCCCCTCGTCCCTCGCGGGCGGGGCACCGCGTGTTCAGAGGACACCGCCGGCTCCGGGGGGCCCCAGGGCGGGAGGACGCGGCGCGGGCGGCGCCCAGGCCGGACTCACCTCCGTGATGATGAAGAAGTCGTCGCCCGGCTCCCCCTGCACCACGATCCTCTCCCCGTCCTCAAACTGGACCGGCTCCAGCGCGTCGGCCACCGTCAGGCGCTCCCACTTCTCCAGGGACTCTGGGGGGACAGGGGCGCGTCACCCCGCCGTCCCGGCGGGAAGCGCCCCCAGGCCGCCGAGGGCGTCGCTGCCTCGGGACTGGCCGCTCCCACCCCCTCCCCGCCCGCGGGGTCTGCGTCGGAAAACACCCGTCTGTCTCATCCTCAGGTGAAGAGAGCAAACCACAGGGTCACAGCGAACCCGAGGGCTGCGCGGGGCTGACCGGCTCAGGGCGGCTGCAGCCCCGGCGGGTGCACTGCGGCCCCGCTGCCCGAGGTCAGAGCACTTGCCTCCCAGGCCACGCGGTCCTGGGGTCCTGGCGCTTGCACACCCGCGGTCTTCCCACCCCGCCTCACGGCTTCCCTCACCCTCCGTACCCTCAGGAAGGAAAACCCAGTGTGTTCCTTTTAAAAGAAAATACGATGGCCTGATTAGCTTTCTTTATTAACTATTTTTTGGCAGAAGAAACTTCCCTGGCCTGTACCTACCAGATGCTCCTTATGTAGGTCAGCGGCTAAAAATACGAGGCCGAGCCTTCGTTTTAGATCTGGGCTGGGAGCAGGGAGCGCCTGCTTTACGCGCCCCCCCGTTGGCGCGGCCAGCGCAGAGGCCCAGCCCGCAACACGCTGCGGGACGGCGCGGGGCCGGGGGCGGCGTGGGCACCCAGGGCCGGATGTGCAAAGCTCCAGCCCCGGCGCACGGCGTGTTGACACCTTCCCACAACGAGGGGCGTAGGTGTGTGCGCTCTGCTGTTCTTAGGAAAACGGCAGCAGAGAGTGTCCACGCGGGGCCCATTCCGCCCACGCGGGGCCCCCGGGGGCCGGAGCCTACGGCGTGGCGGGGCCTGACGTGGCCTGCCTGCCCCGATCCCAGCTCGGGCCGAGGCCCCACCAGCCGTGCCTGGGCCTGGGCCTGCGTCCTTCGTGCCTCCCGCCCCCTTCCACTTCGCCCCGCGGTCTCGCTTCCGCCCCTGCTCCCCCACGGTGCTGACTGTGTTCTCCATAAATCCTCTGGCGATCTGTTTTCTGTTTCCCTGGACGTGCCTTCTCCCCGGCTGGGCTCTCGTCCCAGCTGGACGTGGGGGCTGGGGCGCCGCTCGGTGCTGCCGCCCTGAGACTCGGCCGTGTATCTGGACAGGCTCGCCGCCCGTGGCCTCGGGGACCGGACAGGTGCCCAGGCCGAGCCTCAGCCCCCGCTGTGCACCCCACCCCGACACCCAGCGGTTTCTGGCGTTTCTCGTTTCTGACTCCACCGCGTTCTCGGAAGGGGGCCATGCCCCACACACCACGTTCACACGTGGCCTGGCTGGGCCTCTCCGGGCAGGGCCCGTGCTGCGGGAACACTGCTGCGTGGTTTTCTCCGGGGTCCCCGGGGCCACGACACGGGGTCGCCCCTCACCTGCCCCGGTCAGTCCCTTGCGTGGTCTGGAGCCGCCCTGTCCAGACAGAAGCACCGCCTCGCACACTTCTGCACGTAGATGGACTAGAATGAACTAAGGCTTGGCCCCTGAGGGCAGCCCAGGCCCAGGGGTCGCGTCCTCACCGATGCCTCCCGGGCAAGGCTGGCCCTGGACACGCCCAGGCTCACGGCAAAGCAGCGTCAACACACGGGGAGCCTTCGCTGCCGAGGGCGCTGCTGACGCTCCCCAACTCAGGGGAAACGCCCCCAGTGTGTTGATCCGACCCCGGGGCGGGCGCGTGCCGGGCGGGACGGTCGCAGGAGCAGCCAGACTCGGGGGGACGCGGAGCCCGTCGGGGAGCGGCCCCACGGGCCGGCCTCTCTCACAGGGGAACTCGGGGGACTCCAGCTCCCACAGCAGCGCAGGCGGCAGAGGGACCGATGGACAAGCCGCCACGGCTGAGAACACAGCAGCTTGGGCCCGAGAAACAGCGGTGTGTGTCTGCACATGTTCATGCGTGTGTGGGCGTGCGTACATCCATACATGTGGGTGTCGGCGCGTGTGTACATGCGTTTGTGCACACGTTTGCGGTCTGTGCCCCGTGCACGTCTGCGAGTGCGTGTGTGGCCGTGGCGTGAGTGGACGCGCCGCGGCCGTCGCCGGCGGGGGGCGGGGGGCGGGGGGCGGGACTGACCCAGGATGGAGACCTTGCTGAGGAACCCCTCGTACACCTTGCGCCTCCGCAGCGTGCTGCCCTGTGGGGGAGAGGGGGACAGTGAGGCGGGGCCGCCGGCCCGGGCCCTTCGACGCCCCCGGGTGCCCCCGGGGCACTCTGAGCCCCTCGGAGGACACCCTCCAGGCCCTCCGCGTCCCACGCGCCCCCCCAGGGACCGAGAGCAACCGCTTCCGGCGCCCGGCACCCGGTCCCCAAGACAGAACCCCATGGGGTCTCCCTGGCGGCCTCCACCTGCCCCGCAGGACGGCGGACGACGCCGCGGAGACCGCAGCGGCGGCGGGCAGAGGCCGAGAGACCGAGGCCCCTCCCTCCTTCCCTCCCTCCTTCCCTCCCGCTGGCTGGATGGGGAGACCGCGGCTGCGCGGCCTGGACGGCCGCTGGCCTGCTTCCCACTGAGAGGCGGGGACACCGGAACAGCCCGCCCGCCCTCAGGTGGTGCCGGAGCCTCTGCTGACAGGCGGGCGCTGGCCGCCGCCTGCGGGCCCCCCTGCAGGGCTGTGCCTCCCGCGTCACAGGCGTCACAGGCGCGGGGCCACCGGGGGCCACAGCAGGGGCCGAGGGGATGGGGATGGGCCTCCGGACGCCTGACCCTCAGTCCCAGGGGCGGGCAGCGCCTCCGTGTCTCCGCGGGGTCCCAGGACGGGGCTGGGCCCCAGCGGCAGGCGAGAGCACCTGCGAGGGCGGGAGGAGCCGAGGTAGGGCTGCCTGACCCCCCGCCCCCACCTCACCGCCACCACACCGGGGCCTCGGCTCAGGGACGGGAAGGGCCTGGCCCCGGTCCCCACCCAGCCCCTGGCAGGGGGCCCGGCCTGCGGCCCGGGAAAGCGTCTGTCCCGAGGCTAGAGCGGAAGGGTCCGGAAGGCCGGCCGGGCACAGCGCCTGGGCCCCGGCAACTCCGCAGCCTGGCCTGGAGCAGGTGTCAAGGTGCCGCCGGAGGGGTGGCCCGGTGCCCGACTGGGGACTCATAACCCACAGACCCACACCGCCCGCCAACGCGCCTCAGCCCCAGGCCACCCCCTCGCTGCGAGGGACCCCCCAGGACACGGGCCGCCAGAGCCCTGCAGCTCCCGTGGCGGCCGGTCCTCAAGTCCCGCCTGGGGCACCGCCACGACCCGGGCACAGCCCTGGATGGGGACAGGGAAGGGTTCCCAGCCCCCACCCCGTGGGCCCACCTCGCGGACGGGAGCCCGAGGCGCGCAGTGATGGGGAGCCCCTCACGGGCCCGGACCGCTGCCGAACCTCCCCGCCCCCAGCCAGGGCAGGCCAGCTGCTGCAGCGGGACCGGACAGGCGCAGGCAGACACCCGGCCCTCGGTCCGCGGGGACGCTCCTGAGAGGCACCGCCTCGGGGGCGCCTCCCCAGGCCTGGAGGTTCCCCGACTGCCCCAAGACTCCGCGTCCCCAAAGCACAGCCCCTGGACACATCACCACCCACTGGGCCTTGGGGAGACAACCAAGCCCTGGGGGGCGGGGGCAGCCAGCAAGGGCAGGTCCAGCCCCTGGGCAGGCGCATGGGGAGAGGCCACGGGTCCCCCGGCAAGGTGTTCACCTTGGCTACCACCTCCCGGCAGGCAGGGACGCCCCAGGAGCCGGCTCCGAGCCAGCACCGCCCGCGGGGGCCGCCCTCGGCGACAGGCCCCGGACCGCGCACGAGAGCGCCTGCCCCGTGGTCCCCTGGGCGAGCGCGGAGTGGGCACAGGACGGGGGTCGGGCCGCCGAGTCGGCCGCTGCCCTGAACAGGCCACCGTGGCCTACACACGGGAGGAAGCCTAGCATGACCGTGGCCGGCACGCCCAGGGCTCAGTCCCCACGTCAGGGCACCCGGAGGCCAGCAGCCCCGCCGCTTGGGCCCCCGTGCCCCCGAGAGCGAGCCAGGCTCCTCAGGGTGCAGGGCGCAGCAGGCGCGCCAGCCCTCGCGGCCCAGTCCAGGCAGCTAGGAGACAGGGGAGGGGCAGGGAGACGTCCCCAGGAATCTGCCGCCGGTCGGGAGCGTCCCAGGATCCCCCCACGCTCTACCCCGCCGAGGGCGCGGTCAGGACCCCCCGCGGCACTCACCATGAGGATGCGGCGGTAGCTGTCACGGTCGATGCCCCAGAGCTTGAGGTCCGTCTTGGCCTTCACGGTGGCCGCCCGGGGTGTGCCGTAGATGAGCGCCAGCTCCCCAAAGCTGCCGCCCTCGCTGATGTTGGTCACCCACTCGCCGTTCACATACACCTGGGGATGGCACGAGACATGTCGTAGGGCCCCCCCAAGGGGCCCCGCAGCTGCGGACAACGCAGCCGCCGCCGCCGGCCCCTGGCTGGTGGGCGGACCGCCGCGCTCTGCGGCCAGGCCTGGCCTCGGCCCCCACCGCCCCCCGCCCGGTTCCGTCCACCTTGGGACCCTGGCGTCGACCCCCAAGAGCGGGCGGCCCACAGCGGCAGCGCGGCTGGAGGTGGACGCGGCCTACCCGGGCCGCGGTCCACAGGAGAGCCAGCCCTGCCTCCTCCCCGGCGGGTCTCCCGCCCCGCTCCCTGTCTCAGGGAGCCTCTCTGGGCCTCGGTTTCCCCGATGGCGCGCTGATGAGAGAGGGCTCCCTGGGCACGTCTGCGCCCCCGCCAGGCTCCCTGCACGGGGCTCTCATTCATCGGCTGCCTCCCCCGCCCCGAGCAACCCCCCCGCCGGCCGCTCCCCCCGAGGGCCCGTCCTCCCGGCGCGGCCCTCAGGCCCCTGCGCTGCAGTCAATGGGCGGCCGGGCCGGCGAAGGGCCCGGGACAGGCTCCCCTTTCAGCCCCGCGGGCACCGCCCGCGCAGCAGCCCCGCCGTGCAGGGGCCGCGCAGGCTCCGTGTCCGGCAGGAACAGTGCAGGCTGTTGACTGTGCAGAGCGGCTACTATGAGTGGACACAACGCTCGCTGTCTTCCCCCTGCGTGTCAATGAGCTAAAGAACAGCTCCCGCTGGCGCAGCGGGCGCAGCTCGGGAGGGAACGGGCTGCGGGGAGTCACCGAAGCCGTTCTTGTCGAAGCCAATGACTCGTTATCCGGGCGGTGACGGCCGCGCGGTGGGGGCCTGGGCGCCCGGCGGCCCGGCGGCAGGGTCGGGAGGCCGGGGCCACCGCGCGGTTCCGAGGGAAACGGGGGCAGCAAAGCCCCCCGGACGGGACCCTGGGCGCCCGATCCAAGAGGCTCCGCTGGCGCAGAGGCCCCGCCCCCGCCCCGGCAGCCCCGGCCGGTCGGCCCACAGCACGGCTCTGGCAACAGCGTGACCGCAGGCAAACGTCCGTGCGCCCGAGTCCTGCGTGTGCGGCTCTGTGAGGTCGCCGCCGCCGCTCGGATCAGGGTGTGGGGTCTCCGGGACCCTGGTGCCTCGTGCGTCACAGGCGAGGCGCACGTCCCGCTGCCGCCCTGTGTGCCTGAGGGCCGTGGGCCCGGTGCGCCCGTGCCCAAGGCCACGCCGCGGGGGCCCGTCCCGGGCGGACGGCTGTTTCGGTGTCGGGCCGTGGGCTGGCCCGGCAGGGCTGCTCCCTGCTGCGGGGCCACACGCCGCCCTCTCTCGCGGAGGACGCCTGGGGTGGCGTGTGCCGCGTCGCAGGGCCGGTCGCACGGCTTCCCGGGGCAGGTCCCGAACCCACGCCCGCCAGCACCCACCGCGCGGCCCCCGAAGGGGCCTCGTGAGGGAGACGCAGCTCCAGGGTGCAGACGGCCTCCCCCGCCGCCCGGGGACCCCGGACACCGCCACCCTGAATGGCAACGCGGGGCTCGGGCACCCCCGCCACCCACCGAAGAGCCCAGGGACCCAGGGATGGGGGGGGTCTCCGCAGAGCCACCTCGGGGGCCGTGCCCCCCAGCTTTCCCGGGCGCACCCCCAGCACGGGGTCTGGTGCGGAGGGGCAGGGCGGAGGGGCCCGGGGGCCCAGAGCGCTGACCCGGGGCCGCGAGGACCCTTCCTCCCCAGGAGCCCGAGGAGGCGTCAGAGGAAACCATTGTGCGGCGCGGACGCCCGCGGAGCACAAAGGGCCGTCTCTCTCAGGACACTGGCCTCAGTCACCACGGCCGGCACAGTGCCGGGCCCCACCCCGCTGGCACGCACAGGGGCTGCTTCTTGCTTTATTTTTTGTGTTTTCTTCTTATTTTAAAAGAAAAACAGCAGGAGGCCCCCCTGGGCCACATGCACACTCCCACCCGGCCGTTCAGCCTCCCACCGTCCGTCCGTCTGTGCAGCAGCCCCGTGTGAGCCGAGCGCCCTCGGGGCCCGGCCCGGGGTCCGCGGGGGGCAGGGGACTGCAGCTCACGGGGACCTACTGACCCCCGCGGACGGGCTGCAGGCAATGATCACGCACACACGCCCACCGTGAACAGGCTACAGGCGGCAGTGGGAGAGCAGGCGTGGGGGGTGGGGGGAGGGTGCACAGGAGAGGGGCCGAGCCCAGGCCGGGGGCCGAGCCTGAGGCAGGGGCAGGTGTGCGACGGCCCCAGGACAGCACTGGCCCTGGAGGGCCAGGATGCGGCCACACTGTGCGGGGGGGGGGGCAGGGGCGGGCAGGGGGCAGAGCCTGGTGAGCTCCAGGAGGCCCGCGGGCGCTGCCACCGGTTTACACCCGTGACACCCCTCGGTGCTGCGTGGGGAGCAGCCGGGGCAGCCGGGGCAGCTGGCGTGGGGCAGAGGGAGCGGGGGCCCCCAACCGGGCCCCCACCGGCCGCCCGGGGCCAGCGGAGCCCTGGACGTCCGACGCAGGGAAGGGGCCGGCGCGTGACAGGCGGTTCTGTCGCGGGCTCAGGCCGGAGGAGCTCCGCCCGGACCGGGATGGAGGGGGAGGCGCGGCCAGCTGAAGGCTACGCCACCTGCTCACCGAGCTCCCAGGAGTCGGGCACGGGCGGCCCCGGGGTCCGTCGGCGGGGCCGCCAGAGGCAGGACAGAGATGACAGTGTCGCCACCCGGCCGTGCCCACCTGGGCTGCCCACCTGGACTAGCAGCTGGGGCCCCTGGGGGCCGGGGGAGCGGCGGGAGAGGCCGGGCGCGGGGGCGGGGAGGGGCCAGACCTGCCGCCCTGCACGTCACCTGCTCCGACCCCGGACGCCCCCGAAGGACGCGGGGCCGAGTCGCCGTCTGCAGAAGCGGACACGAGAGCCGTCCCCGCGCCGCCCGCCGGGCCAAGGCGGACACCACCGTGTGGTCTCTGTCCCCCAGCCTCTGCCGCCACCGGCGCCGCCTGGGGGCCGAGGTCACCCACATATGTCCCCAGGCGGTCGCTGTGGGTGTTTTCCCAGAAGGTGAGAAAAAGGCAGGGACCCATCTCCCCGTCGTTTCCCAGGCGCCCGACAGGAAGGGGGAGGTGTCTGCGCAGGTGAGCCAGGCCCTGAGTCCAGGACACCCGCTGCCCCCGTCCCCACGCCCTCCCTGGAGGCGTCCCTTGCGGTGGCTGCGGCTGCTGGCCCGCCTGCTCTCGGCGGCCCGTCCAGGAAGTCTCGCCTCGGAGCTGCTCGTCCCACCAGGTAAACCCAGCCCCAACCTGGGCGGCCGAGAGCCCAGGACACCCGGGAGGGGGGCAGCAGGTTGGTTTGGATTGTGCTTGCGGTGCGAAGGCGTCCCCTGTAAAGCTCCTGCCTGTGGCACCCGGCCCGCGGGGGACAGCCGCCCGTGGCGGCCACTCCTCAGGGTGGCAGGCCGCTGGGCAGCCTCCCGCCAGGGGAACCCCTGTCCGTCGTGGCTCAGGGTCCCCGGCAGCCCCACCTGTCGGCCCCGCGCACGGGGAGGCCAGGAAGGCACTGAGCTGCCGTAGAAAAACGCCACAGCCGGCCCTGGGCCACAGCCGCCCAGTTACCTGGGCGACGGGCCGACAGAGACGCCCCAAGACCGGGGAGGAGGCTCCGCACCCCCACGCTCAGGGCAGCACCGCTCAGCACAGGCAGCCGGTGGAAGCGCCCAGCCTGGCGCAGATGAACGGGCGAAGCAAACGGACGGTCGCTCGGCCTTGGAGAGGAAGGGAACGCTGGCACGCAGGACCACGGGATGCGCCGCGAGCCCACGGCACGCGTGGGCCGCGCTGCCCGCAGAGCGACACGCTCTGGGTGACCTTGCGAGGCACCGGCTCTGCGAGGTCCCCGGAGCCCCAGGGCCACCGCCCGGAACCGGGAGGGGCGTCGGGGGGCGGGGGGGCAGGCAGGATGTCGTGGGGAACCATCCCCGACGTGCAGGCAGGGAAAGCTGCGCGACAATGGGACCGGCTTCCGGGCCCTGAACGGGACCCCCGGCATCGCCCGGCCGCCCGTTCACCTGGACCGTCGCGTCGTGTGCACGTTGGGGGTGAGGAAGCCGAGCGGGGCGGCAGGCGGGGGTCCTTTCGGGCAGAAATGCTATGTTCCACGAATAAAACAAACTGGGAGATATTTTTATACTTAGGAAGATGAATTATAGCTCTTGGCAACGCACACACCAGGGCAGGCACTCGCGCCGTCTCTGGAAAATGGTAATTTAAACCGAACCTGGTGCTCTTGGCACTTGGTCACCTGGCCGAGACCCAGGGCACCACGGCCGGAGGGCAGCGTCCACCCGGCAGCAGGGACGACGCGCGGGCGCCCGCGCTCGGGTGCCCAGCCCGAGCCCCGCCCGCTGACAGGGCGGGGCCCTTCCGGGGGGGCTGGGGCACGGGTGGGGGCAGGAATGCGGATCCGGGGCCCCCACCCCCCGCCCTCAGGAGACCAGCCCCCAGCACATCACTGTCCCCGTGTCCCCCTGTCCCCGCTGCCCTGCGGCAGCCCAGGCGTCCCCTGCCCCCGGGGGGCACCTCACAGGCACCAAAGGCAGCACCCAGGCCCGGCCTCGGGGAAGCGGCGGCGCCTTCCTACCCGGGACAGTCACACCAGTGACAGCGGAACGCGCGTCCCCGCAGCTCACCGGAGCCAACCCGCCTCTCGCCCCGGCCTCCTGGCCGAGGGCTCTGACCCCGCAGGTGCGGCTCCGCCCGCGCGGCCGCCCGCCGCCTCCCGGGCAATCGGGCGACCCTGGTGGGCTGTGCGGCCCAGCGGGCCGGCCAGCCCTCGCCCGAGACAGCAGCCGGGACGTGGGGGTCTGCCCAGACAGCCTGACCTGCCGAGGCCGGGACTGGGGCTGCTGGACCTGCCACGGCAATGTGTTTGGGGAACCCCCGGCATGAGGGGCCCTGCTCCCCTCACCAACTGCCCACGTGTGTCCCCTGCTCCGGACAGAAGCCGGCACGGCAGCAGGGTCCCAGGACGACAGCGCCAACTGGCCCCTCCGCCCTCAGTTTACAGACGGGCGCGCGGGGGGCGGGGGGCGGGGGGGCCGACCCGCTGGACCGGAGCGAGCCCAGCGGGCGGGGGCCGCGTGCCGGGCGCCGGGGGGCACCCGGGGGCAGGGGCCTCTTTCAGGGCTTCAGCCCCAAACTGCAGGGCGACCTGCACCTCAGCCCTGAGGCTGGTCTGTGGGGCCTGCCCTCGGGCGGGGAGGCCCCTGCGGGCCAGGAGTGGGAGGGGCCGCGCCCGCTGTGGCCGCCCTCCGCGCCGGCCGAGGAGACAGGCGGGCCTGCCGCATGGGGCGGGGGGACAGGGCGGGTGACGGGAGGGGACAACGGGTCGACTGGGGGGACCAGAGGGCGGGCGCCGGCGTCCCGGGCAGCACCGTGCCCAGCGGGGCCGCGGGCTGCGTCGCTGCCCGTCTCCTCTGTTTCCTGGGCTGGCATTTTTTGCTTTTTGTTTTTTTCTACCCCTAAGGGAAGCCAGCAGGAGCTGACTCTGCAGGCTGGCAGCCGGGGCCCAGCACGGGGACCTCACCCACACTCTGGCCCTCCCTCCTCCACGCACTTCCTCTGCGGCCTTCTGCCCCTGCCTCAGTTTCCCCTTTGCTGGGAAGCAGACGCCCCTCCCCCCCCCCAGGCACGAAGGCCGGCCTGGTCCAGGGCCTCAGCGCAGGACAAGCGGGGACCCTGCCTCCGGTCGGGGGGGCCGGCCCTCGGGCATGTGTGTGACCTCCCAGTGCGATGCCCGGTGAGTCATTTCCTCTGCCGCCGCCTCCGGAAGCCGAGGGCCGCCTGCCCGGTTCCCAGAACACAGCAGAGTGGACACAGACAGGCCACTCAGGAGATAAATAAGCCGCGTCCCCCAGAATAGCTTGGCTGAGCCGGAGGCCGAGCCCTCAAATATCCTGGCTGGGGCGCCCGGCGGGGGCGGCAGCGCTGGCAGCGGGGAGGCGGGGGCCCCCTCGAGGGGCCACGGTTTGTGAGGAAAGGGGAGGCCGCGGAGGCCGCCAGGCGCCCCCTCCCGGGGCTGGCGTCTGAGCTCCAGGGGCGACTCAGGGACCAGCCTGGGACGTGGCGGCTCCTGGGGTCTCACGGGCACGTCCTGGCTGTGCGCCAGGGCGGTGGGCCCCCAAATGCTGGGGCGGATCCCGTCCCGCCCTGCGGCCGCGCCTGGCGGCCTGCGAGTGCCGGGGCCCGTGAGGGACGCCCACAACCATTCCCGCGGGGCCCCCCGACCGCGACGGTGCGGGTCCCCCGCCCCGTTGACAGGGCCCGGCCGCGCGAGGCCAGGACGGAGCGGCATCTGGCGAGGCCGGCGGCGCGACCCCCACGCCCCGTGCGCGTGCGCGGAGGAAGCCCGAGGCCCCCGGCCACCGGCCGGGGCGCAGTCCGGCCAAGGGACCCGCCTGCGGGACGCAGGGCGGCCCCGCCAGCGAGCACTCGTTTCAGACTCTGCCCTTCGACGCGTCTCTGCGCCCGTTACCTGGAACGGGTGGCCTCCGGGACTAAAACATTGGAAACGTACCCCTCAAAAAGCAGATTTTTCTGGACCTCAGCTTGTCAGTGCCCCGGCATTACGCACAGTGCAACCGGTCTTCAAAACTGGCCATGCACCGAGATGCTGCTTCCCAAAACTGGTTCAGAGGTACTTACGTCCACTTCTCCTTGATCAATGACGTAGAAGTTGTCACCTTCGTCCCCTGAAACCACAGAAAAGACAGCCTGTTCAACGCCGTGGGCCTGGTGCGGCACGTGTCTCTTGGAACCCCCTCTGCGCGGCTTCCTAACCCACATCCCGGGGGCTGGGTCTTGTCTATCTTTTTAAATTCTTTAAATAAAAACTATCTACATCGAAAGCGTGCTGCACAGTGATTTGATGTGCGTATTCAGCGTGAAATCGCTTCAGGCGGCTGATAAACACGCCGGCTCCCACACAGGCACCACCTGGCCCATCGTCCCGGCCAATCCCCGCGGTCGGCGCCGGCCGCCGGTCATTTAACAGCAAGACAGTCGAACTATGTTGCGTTCGCTTGTTAAGCAGCCTGTTCTTACATTTCGTCAGTGACTCTTCCCCAAGATACGGCACGAGAGTGTTCCACAGAGAGTTTCACGCCCGCGGCTCTCCCGGGAGCCGCCCAGTGGTCCCGGGCGGGCTCCGGGGAGCAAGGCAGGACATACCTTGCTGGATGACAGTCTCCCCCGCGATGTGGGTGACGGGGAACATGGCGTCGAATATGTCACTGAAAGGGAGACACAGCGCGTGTGAGCCCTGCCGGGGCCGCAGCACGGGACCCCCGTCCCCCGCCTCACCCAGGACGTGGTCCTCGGAAGCGCGCCACACTCACCGAGGGGCGGGCGCAGCCACCTGGCTTACGGGAAGCAGGGAAGGCAACCCCGCACGACCCCCCGGCCCAGGTCCTCGGCACAGCCTTCCCTTCGGCTTCTGCGCCCGGAGGGCATTTGCCGTTTGAGTTTGGGGTTTTTTTCCCGATACTTTATTTATTTATTTTTAGAGAGAAAGGAAGGGGGGAGCAAGAGAGGGAGAGAAACAACGATGTGTGGCTGCCTCTCGCGCGCCCCCTGCTGGGGACCCGGCCGGCAACCCAGGCCTGTGCCCGACTGGGAATCGAATGCGTGACGGCGTCGAAAGCCAGCCCCGCCCACGGCCTGCGTGCTGAGGTCCCAGGGCGGCCGCGGTGTTCGAGCTCAGAGCGGGGAGGCGGTGCTCGCACCTCTGCCTCCGTAGCAGCGGCTCCCGCCCTGGAGCGAGGCCCTGGGCTGGTTTGGGATGCGGAGAAAGGGGGCAGCCCGAACGCGGGCGGAGGCCGTCCTGGGGCTGCAGCGCCCCCTGTCGGCGGGGAGGCGCCCTGCGCTTCTTGACCGGGCTCTAGCGCATTCCGTCTAAACAGCGACTCCTCGGGCCCGCGACCTGGGGCGGCGGGGGCCTCCGGCGCGGGACCGAGCCAGCCCGGCGTGGGGCGAGAACCCCGCTGACCCGGCCCAGGACGGAGGCCCGGCGCACGCTCGGGGCCCGGGGCTCCCAGCCTTCATTCCGCCTCGCGTGGTCGGCTTGCGCAGCTGCACACACAGAGGTCACTCCTGCGTCACTGCCGATCGGTTCTTGTGTCGCTTCCCACACTCTGGCCCCGCAGCGCGGGGTGCGCTCACGGAGTTTGAAATGCCTGGCGGCTGGGCCCCGGTGGCTTCAGCTTGAGAACCGGCTGCAGGTGGCGCGCGTTCCGCGGGGGCTGCAAGGCGCTCCCGTGGGAATCACGGCCTCGTTGTCCTCCGTTCTACTCAGTGAAAGCGGGGCACAGGCCCCCGCGGCCGAATGGCAAGAAGCGCGGAAGCCCAAGTTGCTGGGGAAGATTCCACACGCCTGTACCAGAGGTGGACAGAGAGCGAGGCCGGGCAGGCAGAGAAGCAGGGGCAGAGAGGAACTGAGACCAGCTCCCCAGGAACACCCTTCCCCGCACTGTGACCGCGGCAGGGACGGGGGCGGGGGGAGGACAAGGACCGGATGGCCCCTCGGAGGCACAAGGCCCCGGGACTGTAGGGTCGGGAGTCCCAGGCGCAGCCCGCCGCCCCCGGCAGGCCAGGGGCCGGGCCTCGGTTTCCCCTCTGAGGGTGAGGGTGGGGCTCCTAACGGAGCGAGCTCGCTCCCCGGGGGTGGGGGCAGCCTCCGCGCGGTGGCGGCCACGGTGCACGTGCTCTGCCAGCGGTCAGGGCCCCGGGTCCCCGCACGTGGACCCGCCGCCGACACCACGCTCCCCTGATGGGGCGGGGTCTGTGGCCAGCGCTGGCTGGTCGCGGCGCCACCCTCCCTGCCCGCCCAGGATGGGCCCTTATCCCAGCCAACTCCCTCCCTCTCCAACAGCTGGAGCACAGTGACCCCAGGTGGCCGGCACCTCCAGCCAGCGGCTGCCACACGAGGGGACAGCACAGACACGGGGTCTGCAGGACAGGGCGGGCCCCCCCCCTTTCTCTCTGTCCCCTCCGCGGGCACGAGCCGCCCTTCCCGCCAGACCACACCCCGGCTCGGAAGGCTGCCGTCCTCACAACCGGGTGGAAAGGACTGCAACTCGGGAAGATACACCTGACCCAAAGAGAGGTCGGCCTCTCCTCTGAAAACTGCAGAAAGTCGCTAGGAGGGGAGGAAGGTCTGGACAGACCTTCCAGCTCCCGACCCGGGAGCCTCGGTGGCGGCCAGACACCGGTTCTAGATCAAAATGACCACAAACTCAATGCCGGCTCTTTCAATAGGAAATGATCTGAAATTCATATGGAAGCACAAAGGCCCCAGACGTGCCGAGACAGTTTTTAAAAAGAAGAACAGAGCGAGAGGGAGCTCAGCACCTGATTTCATCAGACAGCATGGGGGCGGGGGGACAGCACCGGACCCCGGACGGGCTGCGCGCACGGTTGCCGACCTGCGGCCGGGCCGAGGCCACGCGGCGGGGAAAGAACTGCCCTCTCAACCCGGTGGTGTCAGCACAACTGGACGTCCACGTAAGAAAAGCGAATGGGGAGCCTTACTTCACACCGTGCACAAAAAGTAACTCAAAGTAGAGCACAGACCCACATGGAAAAGCTAAAACTATACAACTTTCAGAAGAAATGTAGGAGCGCGGTCTGCTGTGCCTCAGTGGACTCAGCGCTGGCCTGCGAACCAAAGGGTCGCCTGTTCAACTCCCAGTCGGGGCTCAGGCCTGGGTTGCAGGCCAGGTCCCCAGCAGGGGGGGCGCGAGAGGCAACCACATGTTGATGTTTCTCTCCCTCTCTTTCTCCCTCCCTTCCCCTCTCTAAAAAATAAATAAAATTTAAAAAAAAAGAAATGTAGGAGAAAGTCTTTATTAATATGGGTGACACAGAGAATTCTTAGAGGTAACAAAAGTGCGATGCATCAAGAACTGATAAATTGGACTTCATCGAACTTTAAAACTTTAGTACTTTGAAGAACACCATGAAGAAAACAGAAAGATCAAATACAGACTGGAGAAAATATTTGTAAGCCATATGCATCTGAAAACTACCCAGAATATACGCAGAAGCCTCCGAACTCCACAGTCAGAGGCCCAAGAACTCGAAAAATGAGCAAAAGACTTGAACAGACACGTGGTGGGCGCGGTCGCCCCCCTGGCCAGTACCTCAGCAGTCAGTCGGGAAGCGCGGAGCAAAGCTACCCCCCGTGACAATGACGGAACGCGAAAGCCAGCCCCGACCCGGCCGGACGCGGAGGCGCGGGGCCGCGCACGCCACCCGGCGCACGGGGGTGTCGGCGGGGCACGCGCTTTGGGCAACAGGTGGCTTCCTTACACGTTAGGAAGCGACCCAGAAATTCCAATTCCACTGTCAGGAATCCACCCCAGGGCTAAGGAGGGCACGTACCACGCAGACTCGCACGCGCGGCTGGGGGCACCGCGCGCAGCCGCCCTGGACGCGAGGGAGGGAGGGAGGGAGGGAGGACCCGGCGCGCCTCTCCCCCAGCCGCCTAGTTCAGCCTCCACCCCATCAAGGACTGCGTGTCCCCAGTCGAGAAGAAGGCATTTTCCTACCATAAAAGTCAGTTCTGAGTTACTGGGGGGCGGGCAGGGAGGGAGGGGTGTGGGCAGAGGCCCCCAAGGCGGGGGCCCGCCACCCAGGGGCCTGCCCGCGGGGCCCGGCAGCTGCGGGGTGTGGCGGGGCCTCCCCCCAACAGCTGTTGCCGCCTCAAAGCACATCTTTGTTTCCCGCTCTGAGCAACTGTTGCTTTTTTTGAAGGACAAGCGCAGACCAGCTGTCGCTCGCTCGCTCTGGAGATGTGACTTGGGGAAGGCTGGATCCTGGGGAGCCACTCAGCACAGGAAAGAAACACACGTTCCGGGCCGGGAGGGTCCCTGGCCGGCCCCCCAGGGCCCTCACCCACCCTCGGCGCCCTCGAGCGCCACGAACGGGGACCGGCCCCCCGCAGAAGGGCTGCGAGCCGACAGGCGGGGCCTGGCTCAGAGGCAGCGCTGCGGACGGTGGCTCTGGCTGCACCTCAGGCGGAAGGAGGCGCGTGGCCACGGACCCGCGCGCCCGCGGGGACGAGAGCCGGTGAAAGGGGGCGCGGTGCCCTGACAGCCGTGCAGGGAGCCGTCGGACGTCGGGGTTTGCCGCCGCTGCCCGGCGAGGGGCTGGGCGGGAGGAAGAGGAGGCCACGGGCCGGGCCGAGGCTGGCGCCGGCCCTGGGCAGCCCCGACACTGTCCCCTCCTGCTGGGGACGCCTGAAACCCTCCACAGAGGGAGACTGTCTGAGACAGTGCGTTGCAGTCATTTTTTACCGAACAAACTCACCGAAATGCTTTTCAAGACACCAGGAGGATACAAATTTCTCTGGTTGTAAGGGCACCCCCGCCCGGTCGTCCATCCCTGCCCCACCTCCGCAGGTCCCCCGAACGCCCCACGCCCGCGCTCCCTTCCGCCCCCGAGCGGGCGCCCACGACAGAGCCCTGCACACACCTCCCCGACACCCCCACGTGCTCAGGGCGACCCCACAGCCACTCAGCAACTGCTGCGTCCGGCCCACCCCCTCGGCGCCCGCGTCCCCGCCGGCCCCAGGCCCACGTGGCGCCCCCCCCAGGAAGGCCGCCCCGTGACTCAGCCCAGTTCTCCTTCAAAACACAGTCCCACCCCGTCCCCCCCTGCATCCAGGCACAGAACAGAGCCTTGAAACGGGCCCCCAAACACACGGGAAGTTAGTGTCTTAACGGACGCAGCTCAGATCCGTGGGCAAACACGTCGGTCCGTGTAGAGAGGAGAGTTGGCACGACTGGCTGCTGCAGAAAAACAATTAAGCTGGGTTTATACGCCCTTAAACCAAAATAAAACGCCCGATGAACCAAGGAGGTAATGGAAGGCAGGCAGACAGGCAGGCAAAATGGGAAGGTTCTACAAAAAAGCCACGGTGCCTCTCTTTACTGTCTCCGGCTCTGGAAGGCGTTCCTGAGAAAACGAGACTAAAACACCTGCCAAAACGCAAAGTCCAAATCCTGTCCGCGGCCGGCGGATGGACACACACAGCGGGGTCCACCCGGCCGGGGGGACACCACTCAGCCTTAGAAAAGAAGGAATTCCGACACTCGCCACAACGCAGACGAGCCTCGCGACAGTGGGCTGCGGCCAGGAAGCCAGACACGGGAGGACCGGCGCGGTCCGATCCCACCCGTCGGAGCCGCAGCTGCCGCCACGTTCCCTGGGTCAGGAGGCAGCGGGTGGGGCTGGGGCGGGGGAGGGGTGGGCGCGTGTTTCGTGGGGACAGAGGTTCCATGTGGGAAGACAGTGTTCTCGAAACGGATGGCAGAGGCGGCCGCAGAGCAACGTGGATGTGCTCCCTGCCTCAAACGGGATGCCTGCTGACAGGTAAACGGTGAATTTCACATTATCATGTGTGTTTTACCACAAGGGGAAGATTACGGAAAGAATTTAAGCTGCCGTACGACAGAGGAGCCTCCTCGGCGCCGGACAGCAAAGGCCGGGTGGGAAAAGCACGAGCCGTGTCTTTAGTCACCAAGGGCCTAATTTGGTTCATTTGCAAGTGACTCATGAAAATCAACAAGAAAACAGACAACCAGTCAACTACAGAAAACAGCGCGTGAAGGACACATCGGGCAACCTGCAGACAAAGGCAGAAGACAAATCGGCGCGGGGACCGAAGCCGGCGCCCGCCCCCCGACGGGGCCGCTGAGCAAACACCCCGGCAGACGGCCGCATACGGTGCGCCCGCCCGCCCAGAATGCCCGCATGGCCCCTGCTCAGGGGGTCGCAGTGGTGGGCGGCAGGGCGTCACCCGGGAGCAGGGTCCCCTCCCCGCACCGAGCACGGCGTCGGGGACGGCACAGGTCCAGCCCTGCAGCCGCCCCACCCGGGACGTGCGGCCTCCCCGTGGGACGGGGCCTGAGAGCGGGGACGGCAGGGGCAGCCACGGCCCAGCCCCCCCGCCCCCGCGGGGCCCCCCTCTCGACACGTCTTTCCGCGCGTGAGGCCAGCCCGGGGCCCGAGCACACAGACGGCTGCGGAAGGAACAAGGACGTGTCCGGGGGGGATGCTCCAGAAACTGTCCCCACAGGAAGACACCATGGGCCCTCCCGGTGGCTTCCGGTGCATTTCAAAAAAAAAGGGCTCCCAACTGGGTTTGAGGCCCCGGCCCGAATTCAGCTCACGAGCGTCCGCTCGCTCCAGCGAACGCACCCCAGCATCCGGCGCAGGTCGGCGCGGACCCTCCCCCTTCCGTTCCTTACCCAGGCCCGTCCCTCCCTGGGGCCTGCAGGCCGCCAAATTCGGGAGGGTTTTATTTTTTAAGATTATTTATTTATTTATTTTTAGACAGAGAACAAGGGAGAGAGAAAAACATACCTGTGTGGTTGCCTCTCACACGCCCCCTACTGGGGACCTGGCCCGCAACCCAGGCCTGTGGCCTGACTGGGAATAGAACCGGCGACCCTTTGCTTTGCAGGCCTGCGCGCAGTCCACGGAGCCACACCAGCCAGGGCCAAATTCTAGAGGTTGTAAAATGCTCCGGCTCAAACAACCAGGACCTGAGGTGAGACCCCTGGAGGCCGCCCGATGGCGGCGCAGGACGGGGGAGCCCCAGGTTCTCCCTCCTCCTAACCCCACGGCCGTGCCCGTCCTGAGAGCCACGATGAGCGAGTCTCGGCCACCCTGCCAAACAAAGGCCCCGCTGAGCGGCGCACCAGCAGCCCTGGCCCCCCGTGGGGGCCACAGGCTCTGCGTCAGCGGGAAGGTGCGGGCAGGAGGGGGTCGTCCCCCTCTAATAGGTGGGTGCAGCCTTTACCTCGCACAGTGGGAGCCGGCAACGCCGCTTGTCACGGCTGCGCAGGTTGGCCCGGCACGGCCTCATCCCGGCCGGGGTGCAAACCTCGGCTTCCCCCAGGCCTGGCTGGGGGCCGAGGGCGGTGAACGCCACTGCTCGGTGCCTGTCGGTCCGGCAGCACCGCGGACATCACCAGCCTGCACTGCTCTAACACGATCGGGACGTGAGGCCAGGGCGGCTCGGCACGTGTCCGGCGGGGCAAGGCCCGAGTCCAGCCTCCCAGCGACACACCGCGGAAGGCGCCGGGTCGTGTGGCCGAGGCTCGCTAACCTCAAGGTCTCTGCCCAGAGGGAGCCCGGCTTGGTCCAAAATGGGAATCAAATTCTTTGCATGTTCAAGCCATTAAGCGCCTCCTCCACACAGCCTCGTGTTTTCCAAAATGCTGACGCTGCCTTGTAGTCCTGCCGGGAGGGGCAGCGGCCGGCCCCCAGGCTGGAGCCGAGCGGGCGGCTGGGTGGGCGGGGGTGGGGCGCGGCGGCCGGCTGGCCCCCGGGGCTGCATGTGAACTCAGCAGATGGAGTGTTTTTCCCATCACGCGGGGCCGAGCCAACCTGCGGAAAGACAGGCTGCAGGCCTGCGCCGGCGGGAGGCAGCGCGACCGACCCCAGGCGGCCGCGCCCCAGCCGGGCCGTTTTCACCGGAGCCGCAGGGGCGGGGCGGCCGCGGGAAGGCCTCCTGGGTGTGACACCCACCCCGCCCGGTGGTGGTGAGGCCCCCCGGGGCCCGGCACGCCGCGCACGGCCACCCACACCGCACGGGGCCTCCTCGTGGTCACGCTGCGGCCCCCAGGGGCGCGTGCCCGTCTCGGGGGGCCCTGGCCGGGGCAAGCCCAGAAGGGAGCTGAGTGAACCCAAGGGCCCCAGGCCCCTCGGCCAGGCTGGGACACGCCCTCGGGGCCAGGCCAGATTCCCGGCTCATCTCGGGCTCTAGGGCGCGTGTGGGCCCCTGGCCAGCGCCCCAGGAAGGGCACAGGCCCGCTTTGCTCAGTGGCTGGCCCAGCAAGGGGGCTGCACCGGCCGCCTCCCCGGTCCCCCACCTGGAGGACCTCCCTGCGGCAGAGTCAGGGACCTCCGAGTGACCAGCCGAGGGGGCGAGGGACAGGCGCGGGCGGACACGGCCGGCCGGCTGCATGCACGGAAGGACCCCCGGACCCACGGTCGCCGCCCCGCTGCAAGGCCGGCGTGTGGTGCTGTGACCCACACACAGGGCATGTGGCGGCAGGGACACGGCGGCATGTTCTCGTTTTGTCATGTATCTGTACATCGTCTGGATTTTGTGTAGGGCTGACGTCAAAAGGAAGAGTTGCCATTTGCCGAAAATGAAGAGAGGAGAGAGAGACGTTTTCAACGCCGCACTCCCCAGGTCCACGCCGAGGAGCGGGCCGCAGACGGCAGGCGCCCGAGGGCGCACGGCCGGAGGCGGCCGCCCACACACCAAGCCCGTCGGCAGCCCGGGGAAACGGGGTCGCCGACCGACGTCCGCTCCCGGGGGTGTGACAAAGCCGTGCCCGGCATGGCCCACCTGTGACACGGGGTCGGGACACGCGCACAGAATAAGCCCTTCGGGACCCCCCCAGAGGTGTTCCTGACCGTCATCTCTGGGAGTCCAGGGATGGGGGATGTGTTTGCTTTTGTCCTTGTCGAAATTTTCCAATTTTTCTAGCGTTTTGCAGGGTCCCCATCCCCAAGCACAGCCCCCACGCCCCTTCCCAGCCCGCAGGCCCCAGATCCACGCCCGAGGCCCTCGCGCTGGGAGACGCCAGGCCGGTCGCCCATGGTGACCTGGGCCAAGGAGGCGGCGGCCCGCCCAGTGCCAGGCCAGCCATGGGAGCCCCCGGCGTGACCCGGGGTCCGGAGCAGCCCAGGTGCGCACGGCACCTCATTTCTGGAAGCCACCTCTGCTCTGCGACACATGTCCCCTCCAGGCGGGTGTCGCCGGGATCCCCAGCCTCGACCACGACCCGCGGGCCAGGGAGGGCTGCCGGCAGCCCCCCCCCCCCCCCCACTCCGCACCCCCCCCCGGCCCCGGGTCCTACCTTCGCTCATTGTCGTCCAGGTGTGCGAAGAGCACGTTCCGGGAGATGGCCTTGGCCAGCGCCGTCATGGTCTTATAGTCCTTGGGGATGACCTGCGGGGGCCGGCGACAGTCAGGCTCGTGGGTGCCCGGGCGCAGCGGCCCGGCCCTGAGCAGCGGCGACACCGCCCGCGTCGCCCGCACGGCCATCCCGCGCTGCCGGCGGGCAATGGTAAAGAAGACGGCCTGCAAGGTCAATTTAAAAAAGAGAAAAGGAGGAACAGACCGGAACCCGGTGGCCGGAGCCGGCCCGTCCGGGAGCTGGGTCCTGGGGCACCGGCTCTGGGGGACCCAGGCCTCCTGGCAGATGCGGGTGAGCTCCAGACGCCTGGGCTGCTACATCTTTGCTGATTTCATTACCTCACTGTTTTTTAAGGTAGCAGGTGCTTGTTGAAACATTTGAAAACCAAAAAAAGGGACAAGTTGACCTGTTCCTGAGGCCACATGGACCTCCCTGCGCCGGGGAGGAGGGAGGGATGGTGGGGACGGTGCCGGGCTGGGCGGCCAGACCCCGCAGCGGAGCCACCGAGCGGAGGCCGGGCTGAGGGAGAGGCGTCCCCGTGGGAGGCTGGGCTCCACGCTCAGCGGGTCGCTCCCTGCTGATGGAAAGACCTGCGTCTCAAATGCCGCGATTTCTCCCTTGAGAGACCCGAGCAGACCACGGAGGCCACGGCCAGGCCCGCACTGCCCGCTCGGCCGCCCGGGCCCTGCACCAGGCCGGGGGTGGCACCGGGACCCCGGCTACCCGTGCGCGCTGCACACACGGGCTGGAGCGCACCCCCCCGCCCCCACCCTGGCCCGTTCCCTGGGCCCGTGGGGCAGTGACCGCACCGCCCACCCAGGCCCCGGGCCCACCTTCCGGACGTAGGACACGGCGTCCTCCTCCGTGTACACCTCGGCGCTCACGCCCCCGCGGCGGCAGCGGGCCTTCACCACGGGGTTCGGCAGCGTCGGGGAGGCCTCCTCATCGTGCGAGTCGGACTGGGAGGCCGACTTCTGAGCCAGGATCTGCCTGTTCTCCTCCTGGAGGGGGGGGGCCGGAGAGGAGCTGAGGCGCCGCACCACCCAGACACTCCGCGCGCCGGCACGCGGGGAGCCGGGGAGCCCGGGGGCCGGGTGAGAGGAGGCGGGGACGCAGGGCCCCCTCCCCGCGGCCCCCGCCCCGCGCGTCCCTGGCGCGGAGCTCCGTGGGCTTCCCAGCCCCCCTCAGAGTCACCTCCGGCAAGAAGCCTCCCGATCCCCTTCCTCCCACCACCTGGAAAGCGTTTCTGTTCGCAACTTCCTCCGGCTCCAGGCACGGCCGGGAGCTGCAAGCCCTGCTGGAAATGAGCGACGAACGCGAGAGTGGACGAACGACCGAAGACCAGAGACACGCGAGGACTCAGGGGGCGAGAGGCTCGTCCCGAGCGCAGACCCGCGCGGCTGCTGTCAGCTCCTGGCTGTCGCAGCTCGGGGCCACGCCGCGGGGGCCGCAGAGCAGGGAGGCGGTATCACGACGCGGCCACGGCCGCCGCACCGCCCACGTCCCCGTGGGTGGGGCCCCAGGGCTGCCACGGGCCGCAGGCCGGCGCTGAGCGGGCCAGGGCTGAAGGGGTTGCCATCCGGTGGCGCGGCCAGAGGGCGCAGGCGCGGGAGGCGCCCGTGGGCCGCTCCCAAGGGCCTGAGGGTCCGCAGGCGGGGCCGCTGGAAGTGCAGAGATGGCGCCGACAGGGGAGGTGGCCGGGGGCCCCCTGCAGCTGCCAGGGCCACGTCCTGGCCTCCCGGGGGGCCAGCGAGCGGCGCCTGTCCCGGCGCGGGGGCGGCTTTCCACCGTCGGCAGCGCGGGGTCAGTGCGGGCTGGACGCAGGCGGCCCCACACTGCAGGCCCGGGCGGCGGGCAAGCGCTCTTTCCGCGTGGCAGCCCGCCCCCTCCCGCTCTGGGGATTCCAGGGAAGCCTCGGACTCTCTGCGGCCCCCTTCCCGCCTGCGGTTTCCACTCTGAGGGGTCGTCTGAGCGGCAGGATGGTGGGGCCCGGGGTCAGGGTGGCTCTCCGGTCCAAGGAGCCCTCACGACATGCGTGTGGGAACCACGCCTGCAGAAAGCTCAAGGCCGGCGTCAGCCCTGGCCCGGGGCGCATGTCCCTGTCGGTCCCCCGGCCCGGAGTGGCGGTCACTGTCCTCTGACCGCGATTCTCCCACATGTCGGGGAGGGGGGCGGGTGGACGCAGACTTCCAGCTGAGGGAGGAAGTGCCGGGGGCGGGATCGGGGGAGGGGGAGACTGGGGAGCTGAGTGCGCCCCCTCAGAGACCCCGCCGGCTGCTGGGCACGGACACAGCCGCGCTGTCCCTCCTCGGGGGGGTTTCTAGGGGCAGCTGATCACGCGGGCTGAGCACCCGGAGGAGAGGCCGTGCCCGGGAGGCGCCCCTGGGAGGAGGCGTCCGCGCAGCCGCAGACCTGGGTCGACGAGGGGTGACAGTCGCCGGCCCCACCCAGGAGCCAAGGCCTCAGAAAAGCTGTGGCAGGGAAACTGAGGCCCAGGGAGAGAAAGGACGCAGCTGGCGGGCGCGCAGCAGGTGCTCAGTAAACGTGTCGAATGAACGAACTAATGCATAAAACCTTTGGGAGAACCAGTGCTGTTAGACGTCCATAGCCACCCGGAGCCCAGATTCTGTGTTTTGAAACACAGCCGCAGAGAATGGCAAGAGGGCTCAGGAGGTACCTGCACCGGAATGTTCTCTGCAGTGTTGAAGATTTTTAATTCAAGCAGCAACAATAAGAGACTGCTTAGATCAAGTTAGAGGCATCTATATAATAGACTACTCCACACCATGAAATCATGCTTTTACTGACAGTTAGCAATCATACAAATGATCGTTAAAGTTTGGTTTAAAAATCCAAAAAGCAGGATTCCAAAGCATGTGTATGCGTCGTTAAGAGAATGAAAAGACAAGCCACAGACTGGAGAGAATGTTTGCAAAACCCACGTCTAAGAAAGGACTTGTATGCAAAACGTACAAACACCTTAACACTCAACTGTAAGAAAACAAACGGCCCCAATGGAAAACTTGCAGAAGGTCTGGACCGACAGTTCGCCAAGGAAGACGCACAGACGGCAGGTTAGCACGTGAGGAGAGGCTCCCCATCCTCCATCGCCAGGGAAATGCAAACATCGGCACAAGGGACCGCGGCGCACCGTCAGCCTGGCCAGAGCCCAGAGCAGGGCGGCCGCGGAGCCGCGGAGCCGCAGGAGCCGCACTTGCTGCCGGGGTGGGGGGGCGGGGGACATGCGGACGGCGCAGCCCCTCTGGATGGCGGTTTGGCGGTTTCTCAGAAAACTAACAGATTTTTACCGTAAGAGCCACTGATCGCATCCCTTGGTATTTACCCCAAAGGTGTGGAAACTTTAAACCTGTGCACAGATGTTTCCTTCTGCCATATTCATGGTTGCCCGAGTGGGGAAGCGCCCAGAGGCCCTTCAGCAGGTGACGGGCAGACAAACGGCCGTCCAGCCAGCAGTGGACACGCAGTAGCACAGAGAAGAAACGAGCCGTCAGCCACAAGAGGACACGGGAGGGCCTCGCGTGCGCGTGACTCAGCAACGGAAGCAGCGTGACAAGACTGCGGGATTCCACGTACGTGATGTTCTGGGAAAGGCGAATCCGTGGGGACGGGGCGGGTGAGCGGTGCCGGGGGTGGGGGTGGGCACAGAGGGCTGTTCGGGCCGTGACACCGCGCCAGCAAAACGACAGACACGCGTCCTTACAGATGCCAAGGGACCCCGTGGGCTCCGGGGAACGGTGCGGGGACAGGCAAAAGAGCGTGTGCGGCTGTTGGGGACGCGCAACGCAGAGTCCCCTCCTACGTTGTCACTGGTCATCGTGTTGTTTTTCCACGCGAACGACTGCAAACCTGCCTCGGCCCCCTGTGGGCCGCAGGTCGGCTGGTGGTTCCAACAACAGAGGCGGGGACACTTGGGCTCGGGGCTTTCTGCTCCGTTTTTCTGTAGAGCTAAACTTTCCCCGCAAACAGGCGATCACTTTAAAAAGCCCATGCAGCCGGACAGCAGACCCATCACACGTGGGACCGAGGAGAGACGCGGAAGAGTGAACAGAGGCAGCTGCAGGAACCGCGCCGCGTGGAGGGACGGGAGGGGGAGAGAGAGAGAGAGATCTGATGAGACGTAAGCGCGTCTTTGTCCTTCTCTGCATTTTAATGTCCGGGATTTGTGGAACCAACACCTCTTCAGGTGCTCGGTAACTTCCGGAAGCTTTAAGCCTCCTTTGAAGAAACGCCCTGCCTGTCCCTTGGGGGGGCCACGTCTCATCACCTTGAAATGCTTTTACGAGGCCCGAACAGCGGCCGTTTCTCCGGCTCTGAGTTTGAGACCCGGACCCGGACCGAGGTGCCTGGCTGAGCCGCTCGGCACGCGGACACCCGCTGTGTCCTGGACGAGCCGGGGACGCGCCTCGCGCTGGCCCCGCAGATGCGGAGAACGGCAGAGCGGCGGCCGCCTGGGCGACGCGGTTGGGGGACACAGGAAGCTGCGTTTGCACTGAACACGCAGGAACGTAGAGAGTGAGGGGACGGACGGGTGGGCGGGCCGGCGAGAGCGGCGGGCCGGCGCGGGGCCGGCAGCCCGGGGTTCCTTCCCCGCCGCCTTTTCCGTTATTGATGCTGCTGATGAGGTCGTTCTGGGCGTGAAACCAAAGCAGGGATGCTCACAAATCCCGATTTTGGAAGTTTCTGACCGTCCCTGTGCCGGTGGCCCTGCTCGCCCTCTGGGTCTCCGCGGACGGGGCGGAGGAGCTGCGGCACCGCAGGACAGCGCCCGCGGGCAGGCGCTGAGAGGACAGACGGCCCCGACCTGGGACGCGGCTCCCCCAGTGCCCGGGCCACGGGGCTGGGCCTCGGGCCTTGTGCTTCTCTCCTTTCCCGGGACCCAGGGGGCACCGCGTGGTGGCCCGTCCCCCGCCAGGGGCTCTGGGGCCGCGGGGGCAGCGCCCGCAGCCTGCACACGGGCGTTTGCAGGAACCGTGCTCGTGATGCCGGAACCGGGGAGCGGCCGGACGCCCTTCAGCCGGTGAGGGGAAGACAGTCGGCCGTCCCGGCCACGGGGGGACACTGGGCAGCACGGAGAAGAAACGAGCCGGCAGCCACGACAGGGCACAGGGGACCTCGGGCGCGCGTGACTCCGCCGCGGACGCCCGTGTGGCAGGGTTGTGCGCCGGGCGATTCCGCACACGCGACGCTCTGTACGAGGCCAGACGGTGGCGCCAGTGGGCCGACGAGGGGCTGCGGGGGGCGGGGCAGGGGGGCGGGGAGGAGAGGCGGGCGCGCAGGGCCCTCCGCGGCCGGACACCCGGCCTCTCGGCGCGGCCAGGAGGCCCGTGTGCGCGTCCCGTAAAACACAGGACCCGTTTCCCTCTGCACCAGCGACCTCGTTGATCTGCAGGTTTTGAGTGTGTCGGGATCTCCCCCGTGGCAGAACGCGGAGTGTTCTCGGCGGTGTCTTCAATTGATTGGATCGCAATCCACCCCGACGGGTCTGTCGACCGCGAGCGTCGTCCAGAGAGAAACCTCCAGCGCGAAGCTCCGCAAACCGCTTCCGCAGCGTCGAGCAGTCACAGCCCCTCCTCCGGACGCTGCACGAACCGTTTTTTGGGCGTTTTTACCTTTCTCGAAATAATAAAGCATCACACGCCAAAAAGGTTGCATATCTTCTTCCACCTTCACTGTTAAAACGGCTACACAAAAATTCACCAGTTTTGGTAAGTTTTTTCCAAAATGCACGCTGATATGACAGCTGTCACAATACGATCTGACAAAACGGTTTTGAGTGAAGTTGAAGACAACTACCTGCCACTAGAGCCATCGTGCGGCAAAACCCGAACGAACGAAAAATACCATGCGTTTGGCCAACCCAATATATGACACCTTCATGGCCAGTGTGCGACGCCGGGTAGCCACCGAAGCCTGCAGAGCCGTGTGAGGCCAAGAGTGAGCCTAACGCCAGTCAGACAAGAGCCACGCGTCCTCGTTGGTG